TAAGCAAAACAAAAGTAAAAAAAGTTTCAAAAAGTAAAAAAATACATTTAAAAACGCTCATTACCACTACACCTGGAACAAACTAGAGGAAAAATGATCCCATGCTAAGGTTCAAAATATGCCTTTTGAATTACCCCAGGGAGTATTCTTTAATAAATAGTATGTGTTTGTGGGGAAGTTTCAACAACCAAACGTCTAAACTTCTCCAAATTGGAACATGGACACAGCATAAAACTTCAAAGTTAGAAAAAAACTGAATGGCTGCGTCTCAAATGCGCTCCTTCAACATCCACATATACCTGGCAAAGGTACATACGGTGGTATTGCTGTACTCAGACGACATAGCTGAGCAACGTATAAAGTATTATACAGACATAAGGTTTGCAAAATATACTGTGCAAACTCACTTTGTGTGTCAAAAAGGCAGAAAAAACACTTAATACGACTACACTTGGTACAAGCTAGCAGAAAAATGATCTCACGCTAAGGTTCAAAATATGCCTTTTGAAATACCCTGGGAAGTCTTCTTTAAGAAATGGTATGGCTTTATGGGTTATTTGGATTATATAGCCTGGTAAAATACTCTATAATGGGACATGGGCACAGCGTAAAAATTTAAAGTTTGAAAAAAACTGGAATGGCTGTGTCCCAAATGTGCCCCTCCGATGTCCACATATACCTGGCAAAGGTACATACTGGGTATTGCTGTACTCAGCCGACATAGCTGAGCAACATATGAAGTATTATACACTGGTAGCACACATAAAGTTTGCAAAATATACTGTGCAAACTCACTTTGTGTGTCAAAAAGGCAGACAAAAAAACACTTATTACCACTACACTTGGTATAAGCTAGCGGAAAAATGATTCCACTCTAAGGTTCAAAATATACCTTTTGAAATACCCTGGGGTGTCTACTTTGAGAAATGGTAGGCCTTTGTGGCGTAGTTTAGATTTAAACCCTGCTAAGATGCCTGGAAATTGCACATAAGCCCAGCGTCAAAATTCAAAGTTTGGTAAAAACTGATATTGCTTGGTCTCCTATATGGCACTGTAGCTTCACAAAATAGTGCCAAGACATACAATGGGGGTGTCATTTTACTCAGAAGACTTAGCTGAGCATAATTTGGGGGGTTTGAACTTAGTGGCACATGTGAAATATACAAAATGCCCAGCAAAAATGCAATCCATGTGTAAAAAACGCACAAAATTATTTTTTACCACATACTTTGGCATATATTGGTGAAAAAATGGGAGCATGTTAAGGCACAATATGCACCTTATGAGATACCCTGGAGTGTCTCCTTTTACAAATGGTAGGCCTTTGTGGGATTTTCTGAACAGTCAAACTTTTATAATACCCCAAATGGAAGCATAGGCTCATTAAATCCGTGTCTCAAAATTCTACTGTGAATACTGAAAAGAACAGACCTCCTATATGGCACTGTAACTTCACGAAATAGTGCCAGAGACATACAATGGGGGTGTCCTTTTACTCAGCAGATGTAACTGAACACAAAATAAAACTTTGTACAGGAATAGCACACACCAACCTTACAAAATACACACGAGAATTTCTTTGTGATAAGTTTGTGTGCCAAAAACCAAAAAAAACACAATTTTACTCCAATATTTATCAGAGGTTGGCGGTGAAATGGTTACGTGGAAAGTGTCAAAACAACCTTAGGACAATAGCCTGTGATGTCTACTTTATATAAATATATACTTTTGTGTGTTAATTTTGTTTTCTTTTATGGGTATTAAGCTTACAAGACAAACATGCCAAATTCTAAAATCGCTCCACATTAAAAGTTTATTTTACTCCTTGTGCTTTGTGACCTGTAACTACCAAAAAAAAACTTAAAACCCCAGACACATTATATATTCTGTAAATCAGAACAACTAAATTAATTTATTTTTAATTACTTTCCTTAACCTGCACTAATTATGCACACATTATTATTTCAAAAACTGTAAAAAAAAAACAAATTTTTTTTTTTTTTTGCATATTTCTGTATTTTATATATGTCTTACATCAAATTAAAGCCCTTTCTGTCCTTTAAAAAATGGTATATAATATGTGTCGGTGCAATAAATTTTTAAAATGCAAATTGCAGTTGAACGCAAACAGCAAAAAATGAAAAAAATGCTGTTATAAAGTGAAAGACAAGCTTCTGAAGCTCTGTCCTTAAGGGGTTAAACATTTGTCATTTATTCACTCAGTGTAGTCAAATTGTCCCAACGTTTCAACCCCCCCAGGGTCTTTGACCTTGAAAAAGACCCTGAGGGGTCGAAACATTGGGACAATTTGACTACACTGAGTGAATAAACGACAAATTTTGAATAGACCTGTGAGTGCACCTCTTCTACTTGTATATAATTTGAACGCTGGTAGCACCGAGGCGACATATGTTTAAGGAAGAGTGCCGAGGACATATATATATGTATGTATATGCAAACACATAAACACATACATACACATTAACACATATACATATATGCACATGAACTCATACACAGAAATATAAATGCACAGTCACATATATAAGCATACATGCATAAGAGTATGGGAAAGCATAGGTCCACACATAGTACTTAGTATATTGATAGAATAAAAATATTGGAATGCGTTTTGAAGTGTTTATACATATGACAAAACAGTAAGATAACGTGGGGGAGTGTTCATGTAAAGTATTAGTAGTGGGACAGGAAACCCAAATCAATATTCAATACTCTATTCTTGCTGTTATTTTTTTTTATATATATATAGATTTGTGTTCAGGGCAATATTGCCATAAAGAAATAGTTAAAACATGAATAGTTGTAAAACAATAGTCAATAACACCAGATCGGTTGAGGTGTGCCGGAACCAACAATGTAGTAGGCCTGTAATAAAGAGGGTTATGTGAAATGGGGGAGCAATGGGAAGGGCAGCACACCAGACCAGTAATAGTAAGGGAGAGAGGATTGGTGACCCTTAAAAGGTGACCCAAGCACCTCCCACAACTACAGGCCCAGACTTTAATTTGTGTTCGGGGCAATATTGCCGTAATGAATGAAGTTAAAACCTGAATAGTTGTAAAACAATAGTCAATAGCACCAGTCGGTTGTGGTGTGCAGGAAATGAAAATGCAGTAGGCCTGTAATAAAGAGGGTAAAAAGGATGGGTACCATAAAAATTGTTTTATTGAATTTACGATACAACATAATAATTACTTTGTTGGCTGGGCGGGAGCGATGACGTAAGCATGTATATTGACTTGCGTCTCGCGGGTGGTCCAGGGAAGAAGTCGAATGGACACAGACACGAGTCGGGTAAACAGAGACCCGTGTCGGCATGAAGTAAGCGGACCCTGCTAATATAATTAAAGATGGAGAGGGAGCAAATAAAGAAGAAAAGATCATAAAAAGGTTGGCAGAGAATTAAAACAAAGCGGCTGAATGTTGTAGAAATTCCAACTACACAGGGATGCTTAAATACTAATGAAGAAATGTGGCAGGTAACTCCATGACACTGTGAGTTACAAAATCATTGTTTACTAGAATTACAAGAAGATCATAGATGAGAATTAAAAAAAAAGAATATTTATTTTATTGTGCATAGAAAGTATGTTTGCAATGCCACAACAGTTGTTGCCAGCCTGTCGGTTAACATTTAAAATTGTTTGGCATACAATATTACTGCACATTTTATATTCTAATGTAGAATAGGAACGAGTTAGAAACATAGAAACATAGAAACATAGAATGTGACGGCAGATAAGAACCATTCGGCCCATCTAGTCTGCCCAATTTTCTAAATACTTTCATTAGTCCCTAGCCTTATCTTATAGTTAGGATAGCCTTATGCCTATCCCACGCATGCTTAAACTCCTTTACTGTGTTAACCTCTACCACTTCAGCTGGAAGGCTATTCCATGCATCCACTACCCTCTCAGTAAAGTAATACTTCCTGATATTATTTTTAAACCTTTGTCCCTCTAATTTAAGACTATGTCCTCTTGTTGTGGTAGTTTTTCTTCTTTTAAATATAGTCTCCTCCTTTACTGTGTTGATTCCCTTTATATATTTAAATGTTTCTATCATATCCCCCCTGTCTCGTCTTTCCTCCAAGCTATACATGTTAAGATCCTTTAACCTTTCCTGGTAAGTTTTATCCCGCAATCCATGAACCAGTTTAGTAGCCCTTCTCTGAACCCTCTCTAAGGTATCAATATCCTTCTGAAGATACGGTCTCCAGTACTGTGTACAATACTCCAAGTGAGGTCTCACCAGTGTTCTGTACAATGGCATGAGCACTTCCCTCTTTCTACTGCTAATACCTCTCCCTATACAACCAAGCATTCTGCTAGCATTTCCTGCTGCTCTATTACATTGTCTGCCTACCTTTAAGTCATCAGAAATAATCACCCCTAAATCCCTTTCCTCATATGTTGAGGTTAGGACTCTATCAAATATTCTGTACTCTGCCCTTGGGTTTTTACGCCCAAGATGCATTATCTTGCACTTATCCACATTAAATGTCAGTTGCCACAATTCTGACCATTTTTCTAGTTTACCTAAATCATTTGCCATTTGGCTTATCCCTCCTGGAACATCAACCCTGTTACATATCTTAGTATCATCAGCAAAAAGACATACCTTACCATCAAGACCTTCTGCAATATCACTAATAAAAATATTAAAGAGTTAAACTATCATGTCAGCTACAAGACAGAGCAGGTATGAAAATTGGTTGGGTTAGACATTCTGACGTGATTGAGTGAAAGATTATGTAAAAACACACATAAATGGGACATTTCCTAGTTTTACATGGAAGAAAGAAACAAGGCTGGAAATGTCTAGCGACTATAAGCTATATCTAACTAGGAGACCTCACCATCTCCTCTGCCTGCATATCAGCAGTGTTGTATATTGTGAGAAACTAATAGAAAACCTAGTAAAGCAGACACTAATAGAAAACCTAGTAAAGCAATAAAGATTATATTCATACGGTAACATCAATTTCGTGGAAGAGGCAAACATGCAATTCCAGGAGGGAGCCACACAGCCTCCTCACACAGCCTTTCTAGGATCACAGCGTCAAGGGACTCAGCCATCACATTTCCCGGACTTGAGGTCTCTGATGACAGGCTTATCTGCTCACATAAGTGGAGGCATAATGTGAAGGGATCAGGGTGGAACATGCCATCCTGTCGGTTGCTTGACTGTGTTGCTCGGGTTCCGCCTAGGTAGGCATGCCAGCTCTTTGTGTATCTTGGATGGAGCTGTGGCTTGGAGGTGGGCTTGGTTGGCATCGGCAGTGTTTTGCGTGGCATGGCAGTCGCAACCTGGTGCAGTCGTGTGGGTCTACTAGCCATCGGGAAGTGCCGTCTTCTGCAGCGCCATTTTCTGGCTCTCTCTGCTCAGCTCCCTCGCGTGACCCGCAGTAATGCCGGGAGTTGGAATATGATTACCCTAACCCTACTCCTAACCCAACCCTAACCCTATTCCTAACCCAACCCTATTCCTAACCCTATGCCTAATCCAACCCTAACCCTACTCCTAACCTTACTCCTAACCCTACTCCTAACCCAACCCTAACCCTATTTCTAACCCAACCCTAACCCTACTCCTAACCCAACCCTAACCCTACTCCTAACCCAAACCCTACTCCTAACCCTACTCATAACCCAACCCTAACCCTACTTCTAACCCTAACCCAACTCCTAACCCAACACTAACTCTAACCCTACTCCTAACCCAACCCTAACCCTACTCCTAACCCAACCCTAACCCTACCCCTAATCCAACCCTAACCCTACCCCTAACCCTACACTAGCCCTAACCCTACACTTACCCAAAGTGCCAAAGTACCGAAGTGTCAAAGCTCTGAGTTCCCGAAGTCCTGAATTTTGGAAGTGCCGAACCGAATCGAAGTGCCGAATTTCGGAAGTGCTTAACCGAACCGAATTGCCGAAGTGCCGAATTTCGGAATGCCAAACCGAATTGCTGAAGTGACGAATTTCGGAATGCCGAACCAAACCAAATTTTTTGCCCATGCACACTGCTAATATGTTGCCACGCCTTCAAATACAAAGATCAAATTATGAAAGCAATGTTTGAAAAAAATCTAAAACGATCCTGTTATGAACAAATAAAGGTCTTTCCAGACTTGTCGTTCCATACAAGAAGTTTGCAAAAAGCTTTTAACCCATATACATGGACACTGAGAAAGTTGAACATCAAATATGCTTGGAGAGTTCCTTCTGGAATCACCTTATACTATAAACATAAAAAAGAGGTAGATTCAGTTATAAGGACCTCAATAAACAAAGCAGCCATTCAATAGGCACACTCCAAGGGAAGCCTATATAGAACAAATAGTATACAAGGGGTGGGATGTAAAGCCCACCAAATGAGGGCGCTAAACAAACTGAGATACAATGACTACTGGAATAGTCAAAACAGTGACTTAAATCATATCAAAATTTATTCTGAGAAAAAACAATGCCAGTAAAAAATCTAAAAATTCAAGCAGTACAATTAAGAGACTGGGATACAAATGTCTGGTACCAACCACTGTAAGATGGAAATGGGTTCTCACAAAGCCCCTTGGTCGCGACTCCTGGGGGCTAGGGGATACCTTAGTTGATTTTGTGGTAGTAGTGAGGTCTCTGGACTGCCGTCTAGCTGGCTCTACGCATTTCGTCCCGCGATATTCGGGACTTCCTCAGGAGCTGGAGATGATCCGACCTTCCGGCGTCTCTTCTTAAATATTCATTTCTTTGTGCCCAATGTGATGTTGGCGCATGCGCACAGAGGTAATATCATCTGTCGAGTGACGTGCACGGTGGTCATTGTATCTCAGTTTGTTTAGAAACACTCCTCTGATTCAGATACATAGGAGTATCTATTAGTGACTTTAGTGCTTGTTGTTTTTATAGCACTTGTATTTGCTTCTGTATAATCTCCTTCTGTGGCCATTCTATTATTAATATTATTGTACATATTTTTCAAATATATATACTTTTGTAGTAACAACTTCAAATTTTTTTCACTATGGCATACTGCAGATTAATGACCTCATCCATGCATGAGGCCAGAAATAAAAATGCAGAAAAAATATTTTTAGGGATAAATGAAAACCCGAGGTACAATGGCACTTTCATCTTTAATAAATTAGAAAGACTACCAGAAAAGGAAGTAAGAAAGTGGTGGGAGATTAAATACCTCCAACAATACCAGAAGATAGGAATTATCCCTAGAGGATTGAGATTAAATAAACCACCCGGATATGGACATGAAGATAACATTTCCATGTCCAGATGGAATGAAGTGCTTGGGAACTGTTCTTTTCAGTTGATAGAACTACTAATTACTTATGGACATACAAAGATTCTTTAGAAAATTTACGTTATTGCGAGAAAAAATGTGAAAATAATAAGAGCCCCAATCTATTGGAAATAACATCTACTGGTAATCCTGAGAATAACTCAGAGAATTAATTCTAAACTAAAAGTAAAGTCAAATTTTTTCCCAACTTGGGATAAAGGGGAACATATCCCAGTATTCTGTGACACGGTACTAAACGACTTCGAAAAAATCAAAAAAGAAAAAGGTAGAGAAAACTTGTCCTTAAATTAAAAGAAAGCAATTAAAAGTCTTAAAGAAAAATTTGAAATAGTTATAAAACAAGCTGATAAGGGAGGTGGGATTGTAATCATGGATAGAGAAATGTATTTAAAACAATCCTTCAGGATTCTGAGTGATATTAATACTTATCAAGTTCTAAAGGAAAATCCAAATAATATTTTTAAATTGCAAATACAAACTATATTGACAGAGGCCTTAGACCAAAATGTTATTGCAAAAACAGAATTCGAATACATTTTCATCCAATTTCCAAAACTAGCTATCCTTTGTCACTTGCCTAAAATCCACAAAAATTTGGAGAATCCACCAGGGAGACCTATAATTAGTGGTATTGGATCCCTTACAAGCAATATATCTGAATATGTGGATTTCTTCTTACACAAATTTGTTACTTTAGTAACTTCATACATAAAAGATTCTACTCAGATGATTAGAGAGCTAGAGGGAATGGAATGGAAATACAACTACTTATGGGCAGCTATAGACGTAACCTCACTCTACATGGTCATAGACCATAGAAAAGGGATAGCTGCGATAAAAGAAACCTTAAGTAAATATAGTGGTATGTCCGAAAAACATATGTTATTTATTTTAAGGTGTATTGTTTTTATTTTACACAAACATTCATTTTGGTTGGAAGGAAAGCATTATCTTCACATCTGTGGTAGTACCATTGGCACCAGGTTTGCCCCTAGCTACGCAAACATCTTCGTAGCAGACTGGGAAGCACGCTGTATTTGGGATAATAATCAATTTGGGGCAAACCTGGTGCTATGGAAAAGGTACATAGATGATGTTTTAATTATCTGTAAAGGTGAAAAATCTGAGTTTAGTAATTTTATGTCTTATGTGAATTCTAACGATTATGGTCTAAATTTTACCCAAGAAATGGGAGACACTCAGATCAATTTTTGGGATGTGACTTTTTTTTATTAGAGATAATGTTGTCTGCAATAAAACCTATTTTAAACTGGCAGATTGTAATAGTCTCATCGAGTTTTCCAGCTGTCATAATCCTTTATGGCTGCAAAACTACCCTAAAAGCCAACAGATGAGACTATATCGGAAATTGTTCTAAGAATGAAGATTTTATTAGCCAAGTAAAGATTTGAAATCAGAAATTCTTTGATAGAAATTACTCAAGAGATTTGATTTTAAAGGCCCAAAGAGAAGTTGAAAGCCAAACAAGGGAAACAATCTTACAGATGAAGCCAAAAAAAGCTGTTTCCGATACCAATCCCTTTAACATGGCATTTATCATGAAGTATAATAAGAAAGTCAACAAAATAGAGCAAGCTTTCAAAAAACATTGGCCAATCTTACTGCAAGACACCTTTTTGAATAAAATATTATCAAAAAGACCAAAAGTCATCTATAGAAAAACTGATAATTTAAAAACAATTTTAGCACCTAGTATCCTCCCCAAAAAGATTCCAGAGAATATAAATAAGAGTTTTCTAGGTAAGCAACCAACGTTTTTTTTTAGATGCGGCAACTGCAGCACATGTAAACACCAGATAAGAAAATGTATCTATAAAATGAAGTCTTCTACACCACACCATCTAAACACCGATCTAGATATTTTAGCTTTTATGTAAAAATTGTGGTTTTGTATGTCAACTAATATTATATGCCTTTTAATTTTATATAGGAGAGACTGTCAGTAGCATGAATGTATACATTTATTTTACATGCTATTCTGACACTACCTTTTTAAGGATACTTCTAATATTCTCTTTCTCCTTTTTGCCTCCTATGTAGACTTATTTTATATGCTATTCTGACACATTTTAATGGTACTATTAATATCCTCTTTTTCCCTTTTGTCTCCAATATTTTGATGTATAAAGCAGATAAAAATGTTTAATATTTTGTATGTATTCATTAATATTATAGATTGTATTATCTTGTTTATATACACTAGGTTCAGGACCAATTGTGATTCCATTAATATTTAGTATTTCAACCTAACACTGCCGTACACCATATATCTCAATCTGTACATGTCTATTTAAAGTTTAGTACTCCTATACCATATGTACTCCAGTGATATGTCTTTTCAATTGTTATTTTATCTGTTCTATCTATTATGCACCTTTCTATATAGACAATGTTGATTCTTCCATTCAGTGAAGTCTTATTTAACATCGTGATCTTACAAACAGCAGTTCAAAGTCCATACGTTACTTTGGTTATATAAGATAGAATAGTAGCCATTAATGACATAAATATTATTATATTGTGAGGATTACCACAAATATATATTTTCATTCAACACATAAGTTCTTTTTTTAGCTTAATATCATAATATATTTAAGCTTTACCTTTTATATATTTCCTTATTTGTGGTATATACCAAGGATGTTATTGTAGTTTTTTTTTTTCAAATTGTATTTTATTGGTTTTACAACAAGTGGGCAAAACACCGTACACAGTCGCATGTACACATACCATAACATATTAATAGTGCAAGTCGCAGCTTGCTTACAACATAAGTAGGTAGTTAATACAGTCTAACATAGTCATCATAAGGTTATAGTTCACTAACTTGCCAGTTGGCATACCATATATCTGCAAGTGGTTGCGAGATGGTCCCGCATGCATCTGTGTATAGCATAGACAGAAGGGTGTAGTAGTAAACTAGGGAAGGGATGGGTATGAGGAAGGAGACGGGAAAAACAGGACAAGGGGACAAAGTGTATTCTGCTTGGTGGAACATTTCCCA